AAAGGCACAGTCCACGCTAAACGTGTGGGACAGACATGGGCGGGGACACCCAGTATTGCGCCTTTCTCATTGGCGTCTCCCTCCTTTTTGCTATGAAAGAGGAAGGACATATTAATGAGACTAGCCCGATGGATCTCTGTCTCCGCCCATAGTGCCGGCGTGGACTCTCTCTTGAGGTTATGATTTCAAGACCTTGAGTATAAAAAAAGAAAATAAATGTAAGTAAAACATTCCAATCGAAAAGGAAGGCATATTGAGGGAAGTGAGATATTGGAGCGAAAAGCTAAGCCCTCTATCTCACTAGTCCTCTCCTAGCTCTGTTGAGAAAACTCAGCAACACAATAATTGTAAGCTGTTCAGAAACTGATCAATAATCGCTGATTTTTGGGAAAAAGCCAGGTGCAGGTTATACGGAACCCATGGGAACTTTGCTTTTCGTTTTTCACCCAGGTCGTGAAATCGAATCTTGACCCTTTAAGGAATGAAGGAAGGTTTTTACAAATCCCGTAGTATTAGCGTTCGTTGAGGGGTAACATAGGAAGTTGGGGACCCACCCTGGTAAGATTTATCAAACGCTAAGAATTTTCAGCAGTATTTGGAGGACTAAATGTCTTCAGGACCATGGGAAGAGTTCTTATTAGGAGGAGTTCGAGCAAGTTATGCTAACTTTTACGCTGGCTATGTGGGATCTCTGAGGTCTCTTCCTTCCAAGATGATAATGAACAGAAGCATAACCCTGAGGAATGCGCAATGATGGACTTGCTCCGCCCCTACGATTAGCGTGGAATGTGGAATGTGCCGTTATAAGCGTCACCTATTCAAATCAAACCAGACATGCCACAAAAATTACATCTACGGATTTCTGAGAAATATTTATGTAGACGAAGGGGATGTGAGTGGCATACAAGGACTGGAGGTTTGAGACTCTGGTCAAGATTTGGCCAGCGAAGGGTAAGATAAGACGATGTGGTATCTGATTCGTGAAGCTGACAAGAGCTCAGAGACTTTTCAACTCCCGCTACTTACGTGCCTTGTGTGAAGCTACTGAGAAGGCTAGAATCTTGCGGACGTCTGAAAAAAATCTTTGATCTAAGGAGAGGAAGAGAAAGCTTTCCAAGAATATCTGTAATATCATTTTTGGAAAAACATAATTCCTTACAACAAGAAAGGTGTCTTCAGCGGCGCCCCCCTTATACCCTTCGGGTGAATAAGGGGGTAGCTGCGAGCGCAATCATGGCTTCGAAACTGACGGGAGAGAGGCAGAGACGCATGACGAGATGGTGCAACATATACAGACTCATTGGCCAGTTGCCTTTCTCGTCTTCAAAATGCCCGTATCCATCGGAACTTCTAGTTGAGGTCTATAAGCCCGGAGGTTTTCATGATCGTTCTGAGCCCTTCTCACTAACAAATTAAATCATCGATGCTCAACTTTTCTAGGAAACGGGCAGTGCTTTTTAGAGACTTTTCCATTCGACCCTTGCACGCCCCCGTCCTTCGCAAAAATGGCGGTTTGCTTGAGGGAAAAATTGAATTCCGTTGTGCTTCAGGAGGTTTGACATCATCCGACAGCCAGATGGTTGTGGTTATTGCGGACTACGTGACGTTCTCCTTTGGGATGAGTTGGATTTTTGAGCGACACGGCTGGCTCCACTCTCATAGCCAGGGTGGAATGTGCCGTTAAGCACATTCTACTGAAAGGAAAGCCACACATGCTAGAAAACTTCTCAAGAGCGTATGGAGTGGCACAGCCCCTTTTGCTATAGTTTAGGGCCCAGCAAAGTCAATGTTTCGTGCTTGGCTGTCGTATATGTGAGCAAATTCGGAGGCTTTCGTAGAAGCTGCACTCTTTAGCTCGCCAACTTTCTGCTTTGCTCGTTCAAGGGCTTCAGCGGCGCTGTCCTCTGCCGAATGTAACTGAAAACTATGAAAATCACACAACAGAACAGCACAAAGCAATCACTGCTTTGTATAGAAAAAGATCATACGATAGGTGCTAGAGACGCAGAGAGGACTCTGTATCTCAGGCGAAATTGAAAGACTGTTACCCGGTTCTACATCTCCACATTAAAGAAGAAGACGTAGATTACGTATTCAAACAAAGGAGGAGTGCATTTGCAAAGAGAAAAGAAACAAAGGTACCAATTAATCAATACATTCGACAACATGCACAAGCGGACAGCGACCAATCGATAATCTTTGGAATAGATCGATATGCTAGGCAATCCACAAGAGCGGTAGGTTGAGTGGGCTGATTACCGGTTCACCCTATAGCCCACTTTTGCCAAAGAGAGGTGTCATGAGGCCATGAATACGGCATGTGGGGTGTTTTTCAGGAGATCCACGTTGCACCCACGCGGCAAAGGCAGCATTCTGAGCGGCATTCGCACAGGGCCTAATCGAGTCAACGTGGAAGTAGTGCATTGTGCATCTTCTCGAACCTAGGGCACGTGGAACGATCTGAGGTGAGGGGAGGAGGTCGTCTTTTCTTCTTTGCTCGCTGGAGGGGAGGGGTCCTGTTTGCCTGTTAGAGTAATGCTCTCGGGTGTTGACCTCTCAGTTTGTCGCGTCATGAATGCCTATGTAGCCTCGCCCCATTGTCCCTCCCCTCCCACCACGGTTTTTTTGGTGGGGGGAAGGAGAATCTTTGAAATCGTACTGATGGAGGAAATTTCGAGGGAGGGTGTATCCGGCAAAATTTTTCGCCCACGAAAGGACGTGCCCTGGCACTGCTACATGCAGGACGATACGGCTGCCATACCCTCGGACCTTTTATTCCAAAAATGTAATAAATATTGTTAGAATTCAAAACCAAAACAAAAAACATTTAAGGGTGAGTGGAGTAATTATCGATTGGTTAGCGGAAAGCAAACGCGCTCGAGCGCGATTTTCGCAATAGAAGCCCAGCTGATTAAGATGACATCCCAATACTGAAGCGAGCATTTTACCCACAACTTCAACGGTTTTCTCGGCTAAATTTTTGGAAGAAACGATTGCCGTATCCAGTGAATGTTTAGCCGACTGAACAAGTGCGCTCACTGTGCTGTGGAATTTATCGTCGACACCATTAGTTTTGTATTGAAATATCGCCTAAAACTCACACGCAACCACTACAAGTTACACATGCATTATGGCAATATCGGACACAGATAATGTTCACGTCGCGCGCCACGTAAAAGCGCCGCGCGAGCGAGAAGCGCGGGTGGATACTTGTCCGCGCGCGACGTGCGGCAGATACGCGCGCCGCGCGACGCGAACAAAGCAGACGACACCTTTGTACACAACACCTACAAGAGTGTTTGCGCAGATACATCAAGTTCTAAAGGAATGGTTGGCTATCCGATGAATCCGCGGCAATGATTTGGATACCTATTGATCGATTTCTCAAAGCTAAAATTTGGCGGCCGACAGGGATAAAAGCAACTAGACATATAAAGATCAGGTACGGTAAGCACTACGTAGCTGAAACACCAGAATTGTGAACTCCAAACGCACCGTAACTGCAGTCATGCCAGAGACGCAGAGCGATACCTGCTTCTCTGGCGAGAATTGTAAGAACAACCACGCGATCATTAGAGAAACGTGCTTGAGGGCATTAAATTATTGAGATACTCGCTGATTTTTTTTATTTTGAAGGCGCAGTTTACGCTGATCCTATGGGCGGAGAAAGTCAGCCGTGTCTGCGTCACATCACTTGCTGCCTTCCTATTAATGCGCCCGATAGCCTGAGACTGCAGATAGGAGGGACTTGCGTCAACAGAGCACGCACAATTCTAGCCTTAACTCCGCCCATCAGATTAACGTGGACTGCGCGGTTGCTCGTTCTCATTTCATTTCCTTAAACTTTCATTTCTATGAAATAAGGCAATAGGGGTGACATACCTCTTCAGCACCGGGTACTGGAGATGGCGCCGGTGGTGCTGGATACTGCAACAAGCCAGATAGGTCAATACTACTAACTATTTCAAAGTACTACCAACTAATACTAGCTCTAAGCTCTAGAAAGCAAATACAAAAGTATTACAAAATGAAGAACTAAACGCCTAACACTAGCGATCCAACCTCCAGTTCGGCAGGCGATCCTGGTTCCTATAAAAAACTGTTAGTGTGCTTTGAGAAGCGGCACGATGCTATTAAATATAGGCGCAGTTTGGCTTGGTGGGGGCAGCGCGCGGTGCTCTGCTCCGCTTGTACAGGCCTCTTTAGGAAGACCTGCAATTTCTTGTGGCCAAAGTGGCTCACTCGCAAAATTTGGCAGCTTAGGGCTGACCACTATAAGACCTGTTAACTAACGCAAAACAACAAAAGGAACTAGAGAAAATGGGAAATGCCCCCCTCCTCCCCCTCCCCCTCCAAGCCGAACAGCGCCTAAACATGCAGCTGTTACTGGAAATCAGTTCCGGACGTCTAACACAAATGTCCCTATTCTAGCTATCAAGCATAACACAGATAATAGTTCGTGTAAAACAAAATAAAGAAATTCTTGAGCTGATATCGATTGCTCCTCACCATATTTCGATGAAGTACTCAGCCACGCCCACTTCAGCTCTGTGATAAGGGATGTACATAGCGCAAAGAAGAGGAAGAATCCCAACTGCTTGCCTCGGAAAGTTTCGCATGAAGCAAATATGACTACGTAAAACAGCGCTCTTTATCCTCACCAGCGGCCACCCCCCTGCAGATCCGGCTGGAGGATAAAGAACATTGAACTTTTAGCATTAGCCGTTATGCGAGTCACTGCATGCGCATACTTGCATAAAAGCAAAATCAATGAAATGTAGTTTATAGGTGCCCCCAAGAGGGGCTGGCCAACGCCGAAAGCTTCACACTGTCAAGTTTACAGTTCTGCAGACGCTCCACATTGCGGAAGACGAAGATTCAAAAGACCTCGGTAGATAATTGCTCGACATCCTCTGAGTCATCATACCTAGTGTGACCCGATGTTTATTTGGTTGAGTCATTTCGTGGGTGGTCCGCGTTCTTTCAATACGCGTTGACGTCATAGGTTCTGATAAGCGATAGCGAGTCCCTTTAAATAAACAGCCGACCGCTAAACGCTATCAGTCGATCTCGACTGCTGCTTTCTCGAGTGCGATGTCTTTCCACGGAAACCCTTATGGAGGCTACCAACCCTATCCTCCTCCACCACCCTACTATGGAGGTGCTCCGCATGTCGTTACTCCACCATTCGTTCACGCGCCACCACCGCCAGTCGTCGTCATAGACGATCATCATCATCACCACGGTCATCATCACACAATTGCTTTCTTCACGAGCTGTTTCATCCTTTCCATCACCATGGTCATCACCATCATCATCATCACTGCTGACAGAAAATGGATCCCAGCGAAATAAATGTTGAGTGATTTGCCAATATTTGCTCAAAGATATTGTACATATTTGTAAATAATTTGTATGTCAACGACTTACGCACCAGAAAATTCGCAATAATAATTAAGGTTTGGTGTTGCAAATTCGAACAATTGGACATGCTTTGGCGCTAGGAGATTTCACATATAGCTAAGGTGACATTAGTGTTCACTGAGCGAGCGGGGACAAAATTCCAAGTCCTGGTCTACCTTTCGAGGATATTTCGATCGAAATGTGACCAGCAAATTTGAAAAGGGGGTAGAAAGGGAACAGCTTTATAGGGAAAATTATTTTGTTCAAAGGATGATACTTGCAAAATATGGCTGGCGACTTATTTCGAAGGTCGGCAGAAGACCGCGAACGGTGGGATTTGGTCTGCTCATATCAGTCCTATCAGTTGTTTATAATGCATATACCCATTTTTCTTCCATAACATTAAGATGCCACTGAACTAAGAAGAGATGCCACTGAACTAAGAAGACGTCCTAAAGATGCATTTCGCGATAACCATATGGGCGGGGGCTGTCAGTGTACAGAACGCCCCTTCTCTATGCCGTACTAGAGGGGGTGAGGCAATAATGAGGAAGACACGATGGTTGTGATTCATCTCCCTTGTTTCCACCTATTCGACTAGTTCCAAGAAAATACAATCTCCTGGAAACATGAACAGTCTCCAGCTCAGTGAGTTGGTCTTATCTAGCATTGTTAATATCAATGTCAAGCTTCTATTTCTACGGTCGGAGCACTAACACTCATCAAACTGGCTCAAGACGTATCTCGGAATCCCTGAGATCGGGTAGGCGTGGCTGCACACTTGATTTTGAAATGGCGTCGGACCAGGTTTTCGTGAGATGTTGTCATTTCGGAGCAGTGTCTACATATAGCACAGAACAAGATAGCAGTTGTTTCGAATTGTTCCACGAGAAACCCGTCCTATGCCATGCTCAAAAGCCACGCCTACTCCGTCTCAGGGAAAAGGAGTGTAGCTCCAGATATCAGCGTAACGTGCTTGAAAGGTGATACCTTACAAAATTTTGACAGTTAGTAAACATTCGAGCGTTCCTTCGGCTCGAAAATCAATGAGATTAAGGATTCTACCGATGCGCCCTGCTTGGAGGAGGCAGTTGAGCAAAAGTGAGTGTGGCCTAGTCTCGCTTACAGGCTGTCTAAGTAACTACCTCTGCCTCTACTTTGTTGATTAGATTGAAAAAATTGTTTAATTCGTGGGACAAGAAAAAACGACCCACCTTGGCATGACCGGCATCAGCGGTGTGCTTCATCTTCTCCCCAATGTCGTGAGCGGTATCGGCGGTGACTTCTCCAGCCTATATCAGTCTCATAAATATTGAATCGACAACAAATAAAAGCAATATTTTGGCACCAAAAAGCTGCAATGAACTACATCACAACCAATTTAGCGGAAGAATCACACAAAGCATAGGGGCGGGTGTAAACGAGAGACGCTGATGTAATCAAGTGACCAAAAGAATGTATCAATAATACCCGAAGCGCGTCCGCGCAACATCGCTTTCCGCCGCGCGCGACAAAAATGCGCAGCAACTGATGGTTTGGAAGACGCCAATCAGCTTAAACGTTTCAGAGGAGGCGCGCAGTCAGCAGGAGAAAGTGTGAGTTTATCAATGATAAACACCGATTTGACGAGATAAGGAACTCCCTTGGCTGAAAACGCTCTAGAGCCTTGAATTATGACTGCGAAAAGATAAATGAGGGTACAGAAACAGGAAAAGATCGTTTTCAAAAAAGAAGTAAACAAAAGTACATAAGAAATCCCTTACAAGCCAACGTTGTTTCAGAGAGCGAGCTGTTGACCCATGCTGTAATTCCGGGACAAAGCTGTCGCTCACCTTTTTCGTCTCCGCTTTCGCATGCCCGGCAGCTGCTGACACTTTATTCTTTGCGCTGTCGAAAGCCGATGAAACGCCCTGAAAAAGCTAATTGCGCTTTTATGTATTAGTCACTTCAAGTTTAATGTCATGCGGAAAAGCGCATGTAGGTTTGAGGGCTGCAGGCGCCAAAGAGGTCACCGCGCGACGGCGCGATGACTCATCGTCGCGCGCGGCATTGAGAATAGCCAACGCGCCGCCATTAGGCAGCTTTCCGACTTCGCGACGGCAGCGCCTCGGTCGCGCGTTCGGCGCGATCGATGCGCATGCTTTGACTGCATCGATCGAGTCGGGGCGACCGGAGCGCTGTCATCGCGAAGTCTGAACGCTGCCATACTGCGACCAAATTTAGACTCCGACTGATATCGAGCGCGCCTAGAAAGCACTAGCCCGCGTTTTGACCCGCCATAGAATCGTTCGAAAAGCGTCTTCCACCAGAAGGCATACCCGCGACAAGCCGCGCCCCACACAAAGCTCACCTTTCCAGTGTCATCCCAAGTCTTGCTGGCGCTATCATGGGCATCCTTGAACAAGCCCTTCATTGATTCAGCAGCAGACTCGGCTTTCTTAATTACATATGTTTTGAATGAGACGATCAATTGCTTACAAATTTCATCAGTTGCTCTAAGAATCACATTCCGCGATGAACAGATGGGAGGAGAACGGGACGGAGGAGAAGGACTGCCCCTCGCCCAATAGCTCGCTCTTCTTCTACGTCGTATTAGGACGAGCTCACCAAATGGGCACTGGGTATGGGTTTCCGCCCAGCCGCTCATAGCGGAATGTGACCTCGAAGATCAAGAGGAACTCAACCTACCTTTCCAGCTTCGTCCGCGGCATCTGCAGCTTTATCCTTGCCTTTACCGAACGTGTCTTTGAGGAATGCAGCTGTGGAAGAGGCTGACTGCAATGGATTCAAAACTTATCAATGTAGAGTTACCCATGTGATGGAAGAAAATATTCAGAAAAGAAGAAAAAAATTCAAATTTACAGGAAATACGTGACAAAAGGTAGCAGAATATGCTGCAGCAACAGCCAAACTGGACTGAGAGGGGGATGTATGAAGCATTTTCGCGCGTTGTTTTTGTCGCCCTCGACCCCCCTCCCTTAAGAGCAGCGCTATAATGCTGCTTGAATTTTATCACAAGAATGCTCAGCTATGGGCAAGTGCCAGACTCCAGGGGGGCATAAACCCGCACCTCACGTTTGTAGGGGGAGTGCGCTATCCTTAATACCATCAGAGTCGCTTTTACCCTCTCACTTTAGTGGATTTTGTACCTCAGATTTTTTCCAGATTCTGTACCTCGCTTTCTCGCCACTGTCCCACTACATAGCACCCATGCTACCGTTTCAGACCCAGTGCCAAGTTTTCGAGCCATATGACTTTGATCACAGCCCCCCCCTAAAGGCTACAGTGGGCCTTTAGTGGGGGAGTGGCGGCGACGGTTGCGAGGGACCAGACAAAGAGCGCCAGAGGTATGCCTAAGGCAGCGTCCAGACTATTGCGACCGAGCTCCTCAGTCGCGCCCGAATCGAACGCGACATTGTTATTCTCACGGCATCCGATGCACCGAAGATGCGACCGAAGGCGGCTGGCTGTCGCGAACGTCTGAACGCTCCGCTAAAGAAAAGAATAAGCATACATTTTTAGGACACCCTTTCGGCACTTGATTTGTGAAGACATCTCATTTTAAATTAAGTAAAAAGCAGCTCGTCCACACCGAAGGAAACACACCTCTTTTGCACCATGACTTAAGTCGCGCAGGCCTTCTTCTTTTGGGCATCATCAGCGGCGTGAGCTGCAGAGTCCTTCACATCATGGGCAGTCTGAAGAGATGGGAATGAGGAACTGCTGCCATGTTGCATAGCCTCACAAACCTCTCCTGCCGCGGTTGTCCAGTCTTGTACTTTCTTTTGCACTTTTTCAACGCCATGTTCTGCAGAGTCCTTAGCGTCATGGGCAGCCTGAAAGTTGCGATTGTTGCTCTTCCCATGCGATTCATTCTATATGAACACGGGGACGACTGTTATGCCAAGGTATGTCCCGCCGTTGGGGGAAAAACGTTGGGAAATACGACCTCCTTGGAATGCCTTCCCCTGATACGATCCCCATCCGCCATACACCATTCTACCGACCGAAGCTGCCCACCAATTTTCCGGAAACCCACCCCCTCCCCCCCACAAAAACTACCATCGAATATCGAGCGGAGTGGTTGGGGAGGTTCAATTTCCCACTAAAACAGATTAGACTCTCTTCTCTCCATCGAACAAATACGACCCACTGGTTTCGCCTTTACCTAGAATCGTGGTCCCACATGACACAGACGGATGGAGGGAAATTTATCTCTTCAAGCGCCGTACCTTACCCATCCTCCTTCAAAAATGTGCTCGTCTTCCCATAGAAGTCGAGGCTTACCTTTTCAACATCGCTGCCCCATTCCGACAGCTTTCCCTGTACTCCGCCCTTCAAGTCGGCTGCCTTCTTCTGGCCGTCATCCATGGTATGTGCTGCTTTCTCCTTAGCTTCACTGGCGGCCTGTAAGACAAAGGTAAGTTCTACGACTACGTTCAAATCAATCACGCATGCTCTGCCCCCAGTACCAACCAAAAGGGATAATTTTCCATTTTACAGGTGGTCTTGACTTTGTCTTTCGGATTTTCCATGGTATGTATTTAACAAATTGCGGACAGCCTCTCTGTAAAGGTTTTAGGGCAGAGAGAAAAATATATGACACACCATGTGTGTCAACCAATACCAACGAGTTAGTTATGCTGTCTTCTACTCGTTAGGCCACTTCGTAAGCCATAAGTGGACCTCTGATGTGGCAACCATAGGTGGATGGTGTCTTGTGGATGGTCCGCAAATGCAAAAGCTACAAAAATGTTTTCTAATCAGTAGACAAACTCAGGCACTTCCATATAGAACCGGTAAGGTCTTGGTGCTGATGTCGTCCACATGACGCCACTTGAGACCCCTCCCTCAAGCGGATTTCATTACTCCCAGTAGTTATGCTAGCAATTTTGAAAGCTTTTTCGAGGTATTAGCCGGTCGTTTTGAAGGTAAGAAGTTTAGTGGAGACAAAAATGGCACCCGTGTGATCAAGCATGCCCACATTTGTTCATTAAAAAATACTAGCTACTTCTATCAATTCTACAAAAGGGTTAGAATTCACATTGTCTTCTCTACGCCATTCTGCCATCTTCTGCTTCGCATCAGATCTCCAATCAGATACGTTCTTCTGTAAATCGCCTACAGAATGTGCAGCAGAGTCCCCGGCATCGTGGGCAGCCTGCCAAATATGTAAGTGAGCGCTTAAACAGGCTTCACGCTACAGCTACTTTAGTAGAACGACCTCTTGCTTTTTCAACTGAGTCACCGAGAGCTCTCTTCTGTATTATTGAAAGGTTGGAAGAAGAGCCGAGGGTGTAAAGTGTACGGGCAAGAGGTGAGGGGACTGCGGGGGGGGGGCTTTGATGGTAAGCTTAATAGCGCACTGAAACGAGAGGAAGTTATGAGAGCCTGAGGCCAAATACGGATCCCTTCCGGAGCTATCGATGCTGGTAAGGGTCCTAACGACAGGTTGCGAAATAGGATATACCCTCTCATCCACTAAATGCCCGTCCTACCGAAGTTGAGGCAACCTGTGCAGTAGGTCCTTCCTATTGAGTGAAATAAGATCTGACACTTAATAGAAAAATGGCGGTCATTCTTCTTTCCTACGAACCCCCAAATTTCTACACCTACGACTGAGAGGATAAAGAGAGGGGAATGCCTCAGGGTATGCGAAAAAGCTATTCCAAATCGTGAGGCACATTTTGGTCTATCAGTATCCTGGACCCAACCTTCCGTCACAGGGGCCACCAGAGTTGGAAGAGCCCAGGCCCGCATTTAGGGATATTTTTTCCCATATTCCCATATAATATATTGTCAGAAGATGCTTTCGTTCTTTTTAAGCAACGGATTCTCACCTTTTCAGCTTCGCTACCCCACCCTGATAGCTTTGACTTGGTATCGTCTTTCCAGTCGGCAACTTTCTTGTGGGTATCGCCCACGGCATGTGCAGCGGAGTCCTTGGCATCATGGGCAGCCTGCAAATTTAAGTGAGCGCTTTGCTAGGCTCTACTTTGACAGCCCTACTCGCAATCTATCAGATACTTCTACTCTACAACTTTTTCAGCGTGGAAATAACTTTCTAGCTTATTCAATTGGGCTCTAGCTTGATAATCTCCGCTTTTGATCTGAATACTGTCTTCTTAAGGGGATGCTTGAGTCCATGTAGTACAAGCGTACTTCGCCTATACAGGGGAAACGGGGGGAACAAGTTGTACCGCTTGAATGTCCCACGCCCCAGTCTCCTCCAGGCCCCCGGTGCTTTGATATACCACAGGAGGTCGGACCATAATGCCAGTTCTCTGCTTTCCGCAGCAGTCCCAAACCCCGACTAAGGATGCGCCACTCGCCCGACGTCCTCCACCACCCATACTTTATCCTATGTCCAAAAATGTGACCAAATGCTACCGGTACCGAAGAGGTAGGGCGTGGCTGCGACTTCAACATGCACAAGTCACCGGTGGTCGTTGGGAGATAGCTTACTTCTCTCTCAACGAACACGATCGTCAAATTGCGCATTGTCCCTTTATCCAGCACTGAACCGCAGCATTAATGTTCTGTGCTAACAACTGAAATATATCCAGGATTAACACATCCTGTGCGCTTTGTATGAATTGCACGGCCTACTCCGTCCTAAGTCCAGATACAGCGACCGCCTATACAAAAAGGCTAGTCAATTGTATAGGTACATGGAAGCCCACAAACGGATGGACTCCAAAAGGATAGAAGAACTAGTTCACGCCAGCAACCCTAACTGCACCCACGTGTGCGATGAAGAGTACTAAGACAAGGCCGAACCGCGTCATGTGTGATGGTAGTTGTAAACCCCTTTAACCATATACCTTCAGGTTAATTCGCCATCGGAACTCTACGCGACCCTTCAGGGTCGATTAAAAGATGGAGTGGAGTTAGCGCTTTTGGACCAGGAAATCTACGGAAGAAATATTTAAATCGTTAGATACTGACTTATTTCCAGCAACAGGTAATCTCACCTTTTCAGCTTCGCTACCCCACCCTGATAGCTTTGACTTGGTATCGTCTTTCCAGTCGGCAACTTTCTTCGTGCTGGGACCCGGTGACTCTGACCCACAGCATCGCGCCTGCACGTCCGATCAGTGCAAACCCCTTGGCCATCTCTACGTGTGGCACGGCTCTGCCAAATTTATAGTGAGCGACCCTTTTGTAGGCTTCACTCTACAGCTACTCCGAATCCCTACTCGAGAAACGAGCTTCTACCTACGCAGCGTTCTCAATTAAAAAGAATGTGTCTAGCTTGCAATGAGCTCTCAATAACACCCGTATTTTCTCAGGGTGCTTTCCAGAGAGATCTTAGCCTAACAAAGGGGGTGCGCAGCGTGACTTCGGAGGGCCCGATGGCGTGGAGCTCACGAAGCCCAATAAGCGGCACGCGCAACTGTACTCTTCCCCGACCGCGTCAACTAGCTTACTTGACAAATACCACAAGGAAGTACTGAAACGAGATTAACAGTTTCGAACTGAAGACCAAATAGCGAGCCTTTACAGCAGCGGCCGAGGATATGCGCCGCTGCGATCTCACCCGCCGACTTTCGGATGTTCGCGTATTGCGTCCTTGCCACAAACCAGAGTGGAAAAGGGCTAGAATAGTTCAAACATTCTTTAACCTAGTCAGTCCAACTGTACACTTTAATAAAAAGATGAAGGCAATTGTTGGATAGTATAATGGCAGGTAGGTATTGAATTTATACTGGAGTAATATACTCTTCAAAGGTTTCCAAACTTAACAATGAATCGAACTAACACACCAGAGCCCTTATATACGATCACGTGATTAGGTTCGTCTTGGAGCGACATAATTGTAAGATACTGACTTCGCCTAAATTTTCAGCAACGGATGATCTCACCTTTTCAGCTTCGCTACCCCACCCTGATAGCTTTGACTTGGTAATCGTCTTTCAGTAGGCAGCTTTGCTGTGGCATCGCCCAGCATAAAGGGCGAAAATGAATTGCGAGGCGAGTCCTGCTAGCATCGTTGGGCAGCCTGCCAAATGTAAGTGAGCGCTTTGTAGGCTTCACTCTACAGCTACTCCAATCTACAGCTACTTCTACTCTACAACTTTTTCAGTGAAATAACTTCTAGCTTTCAATGGGCTTCTGATAACTCTGTATTTTATTCTCAATGCTTTCCAGGAGTTATAGGAAAAAGATGCACAACGTACTCGGAGAAAGATTTGTCGTTTTGGTCCGGGGAGGATGAAAGAATGTTGAGCAGATGTCGACATAAGGGCCAAGACGCCCTCCCCAGTTGTCTCCTCGTAGGCTAGCTGACTAAAGTTTTGAGCACACCACGTACTGGAACAAGCGAGATCATGCCCCACCCAAACTGTGCGTCGGAGACCGAGCGATCGACAGGCTGCACTAAGGGTGTGGTGCCTGTTTGATCCCGAAGGGCCACCACCAAATATTCCAAAGATTCGTTCTCGTTATATTGTCCAGGAGCTGAGTAACGGATAGCTGAAAAAATGGAAAACGATTAGAAAGCGGACGGAATGGGGGGGAAGAGACCTGTATAGTGGACCGAGGCGTTTCTCGAACGTGATGAGTGTCGCAATGCCACGAAAATTCTAAAACTGTGAAACCAATCTATTAGGATGTTAAGCTTTGTAATAATCCCGTAACCAAAGAAGAGTGTGGGGAGAAAAAGGGAAAATAACTGAAAAGGTAGGGAAATAGCAGGCGGAGAGGAGAATAAATGGGACAGTAAGTGCGAGGTCGGGGCCAAGAACCAAGTATTCGTATATTGCGTCAAAGAATGGAAGCTATGGCCTAAGGAACTGCTTTCGTTTAGTTGCAATATCAGGTAATCTCACCTTCTCAGCTTCGCTACCCCACTCTGACAGCTTGTCCTTCGCGTCGTCTTTCCAGCCGGCAACCTTATTCTTGGCATCACCTAGACCATGTGCCGCAGAGTCTTTGGCATCACCGGCGGCCTAGAAAAGAAATAGATTCTGCGAGATTCATTTGCGTCGAGGACTATATACCTCTGCAGCGAACGTGGTCCAGCCTTTCGCTTTTTCCTGCACATCTTCGACACCTTCAGCCGCAGCTTCTTTAGCGTTATGCGCAGTCTGAAAACAAGACCTGGCTGATGACTTTGAAGAGGATACTACTCCTTTCCATCGCTCCTACTTCGTGACCCAACTTTTTCCCCAAAAGACCGTCAGATACAAAAGTATCAAAGGATGACTTTTCCGAATAATCAATGAAGTCGCTAATACCTGTTCAACTTCACTGCTCAACTCGGAAAGCTTATCCTTAGCACGGGCAACGGCATGGGCAGCTGAGTCTTTTGCGTCTTGGGCTGCCTGAAAGGATTCATTTCACACGTCATACCTCAATGGAAAGAATTTCATGGCATGACAGTCCGGCCTGCGACCTGAGCAGGACTCATGAGGTATCGAGACTAGGGCATTATAAGAGTTACCGTAATAGAACCTTACCTTGTCGACACCGCCCATCAATTCTTCTGCTTTCTTGCGCGCATCTTCTGCTGCGTGAGATGCGGAATCCTTCGCGTCAGAAGCGATCTGAAAGTGTTCTTTCAAAAACATCTTTGTTGAAAATCTGTTCTCCCATACAGAAAGAAAACCCATAGGTTTGACAAAGAGAGCTGGTACGGAGCCCAAACATGCTGGTACGGAGCCTGAGCAGTCTACGCGTGCCTTCCCCGCTTTTAGCTCTTATTAAGATGTTGAGTGAGAGACAGCGTTCATACTTCGCGACTAAGCTTATCAGTTAATAAAGTTGGGCATTGGGGCACCATGATCGATCGCGCTCCACAGCTAATCCACTGAACCGCTGCAAGGCTCCATCTCAGATGTGATTGGACCTGCAATTGTAATGGTCCAACGATCTGCGGCGGAGTGCTAATGGTCGCAAAATAAAAATCGTTAGGTTCAATCGCTCGAGTCGCAAAGTATGATCGCGGCCTTAGCGGAGCAGAAAGGAAACAAATAGAAAGATGGCAGACGAAAGAACAAGAAAAGACCTTTCGCCTGAAAAAAAGTAAAAGGGAGATGTAGCAGCAGCGTTAGAGTGGACGAATTCTCCGTCGACACGTCCATTCGCGTCATTTTCTGCATTTCAGTTCACGATCATGTCCTGTCTTCATGGCAGCTTGTAAGATGGATGGTTCGAATGGACCTATTAAGCTCCGAACCATTCAGAGGTAACAGAGGGGAAGGGTTTTATGGTAGATGGAGCCATGTATTAACAAGACCTTTTCATTTTCACTTTCGACATCTTCCACGTTCTCTTCCTTCGCCTCTCTATCTATGCTCAGCATCCGGGTGTTACATAAATGCGACCGTGAAAATCTATCTTGAAAAGCTGAGAGGGGCTCAAGCCGTTTGCTTACGGATTCTTCTCTCGATGGGGAAATCTAATGGAAGCTGCAGCAATCTCTCTACCAAGTTTGCCATATAGGGCACACCAGCATCAAGGATGGGCAGAAGTGCGTACCGGCACGACTCCAGCTAACCACAATATCGCTCGGTTCGTTATGAACGTCGCATTCCCTCATATCACCTTCTAGAGACGAGAAAGGAGTATAGTGTAGTTCATTGCGGACGGTTGGGCGTGTTCGTGCGGCTGCGTTTGGCGCGGTGCCAAACTCGTTCTCCACGAGTTGTTCAAGCGAGCAAATGACAATACTGTATCATACCTTTCGTATTACTTGTTTTCTACTGCTTTTTGTCGCATGCCCGTTTCACAAGTACGGAAGGGCAGTAGAACAGCTAACATGAGGGTGACACAACTCATTACTGGCTGACACGCCAACCGCCGCAGCGAAGGTAAGTGTACATGAACCCAAATGGAACGAGAAAGCTGGTGATAAGTCGACAACCCTACAACGTGGAAAAGTCCAGGCCAAAGACAACCCCCTCGCCAACGACCAGGTACGGTCCCTTTCTAACGGTCCTGTACCCTGTTCCCAGAGACGCCTAATTGCCAATCTGCCAGCCCTTCCCAAATAACAATTCCCAGCCGACCATGGCTACTTAACGATGTCAGGGGGAAACACCCAGTGGCGCGTATTATATAACCAGTCGCCTCGCCGGCTGACGCCGGCGTGGCTCCTTCTGATACGGCCCGGCTGCGCCGGGCGGGCGCGGCTTCGCCGCGCGTGCTTTCTTTCACATATTTCTAGATTCAACTGATATCCCCCTTTTGTTCTGTACTCCATTTTTTTCCAAAGTGTCCATAAGTAACTCTTGAGCTATTTTACAGATTCTTCGTCTGACTCCGTCCACCTCGGAGCAGGCCCCGCCCACAATGTTTGTGCCCCACAATCCTCACCGACGACCCTCTCCTGACCTTAATCCACGTTTTTTTCCGGTCGTGTTTTTTTTCTAAGCTGTCTGGGGCCGTTTTGCAGGATCGTTTTGTCCTGAATTTTTCCGGACCCACCTCTTGTGAGCAAGCTCCGCTCCACAATATTTTTGGCCCCCAAGTGCCTCTACGCTGGACGACCTCTGCTACGCGGGTTCTGATCCACTTTTTTCCGGTCTTTGAAGTGCTCTGGGACCGTTTTACAGATCTTTTGTCTGACTCCGCCCACCTCGGAGCAGGCTCCGCCCACAATGTTTTTGCCCCTCAACCCTCCTTCACGCCGCGACCCTCTGCTAACTGCTTTGATCCACGTTTTTTGTCCGGTCTTTGAAAGGCCGGCCGTTTTGCAGATCTTTTGTCTGACGTCCGGCTCAGACTCTCCGGAGCAGGCTTCCGCCCACAATTGTTGCCACAATCCTCACCGGACGACCTCTGGCTGACCTTGAATCCACCTTTCCGGTGTCTGGTTTACAGACCTTTTGTCTGGCTCCGCCCACCTCGGAGCAGGCTCCGCCCACAATTTTTTTGCCCTACAATCTTAACCGACGACCCTCTGCTGAACTTAATCCACTTTTTTTCCGGTATTTGGAGTGTTCTGGAACCGAGCTACAAACATTTAAAATGAATACCCTGCGATTTAGGGCAAGCCCCGCCCACTGTTGCGGTCTCATACACGCTTCAAGCCATGCCTATATTGCGCCAGACTATTAATTCTAAACTGAGCTTTTTCACGACCTTCCAAACACACTCGCGAACAAGCGGTTACTGATTCGTTGCGAGGAGCACCGCCCACCTTGAGTACGCCCCCCCATTTAGGGTGTACCTGCCACAGTTAGTCTGGCGACTCCTTACTAACCTTATTCCCTTTTTCCCCATCTTTAGCTGCTCCGGAAGGTCGTTACGAAGTCATTTGTGCCGGAACCCCAAACTTTCGCGGGAGTTGCCGCCCACCTGTGGCGAGCTTTCTTAGGTTCAAGGCTTTTCATTTGCTTTGCGCCACGCCCTACCATCCCCGAACTCTTGACCGGACCTCTCCAAGTCGTTCTTCAGGTCGAACCGAATTTCCGGACAGACAAACTTACAAACAAACAAACAAACTTACAAACAAACAAACAAACTAAACAAACAAACAAACAAAGCGAATTATATATATGGGGTGAATATTTGTTGGTCACATTTCCGCTCTCCCCTAAGTGGCCTACGCCTGTAAAAGAAGCGCTTATGCAGATGCGGCAGGCCCAATGACGCATCAAGAAATCAGCGTAGTGTTCCGGTGTCTAGAATTGCCCCGTTGTCAGCACTATATAAGGCCTTCAACAGGATTGCTGAGCACAGTGCACGTTGGAAATCTCCAGCGAGAGGGGTCCTGAAGAGAAGGGAGGCTGTTTGCGGCCTCGGCGCAAGAACTATTTCGTATGCTTGAATCTCTCGGTTTTTTTCGCTTCAATGCACCTGTACCCCTCCTCCGCTAGTCCTAACGGCGGCAATTTTTGGGGATGACTGGAAGGATTTTGGAACCAACGTCGGAAAAGTGGGGAATTTCGGAAGATCCCAGATAAGATGGAGAGGGGAGGCGGTTTGCACCTAGCGGGGTGAAAACTTTGTAAACATAAAAGACGTAACAAAAGACCTTATTTCGCAAGAATTTCACCCAACGGCAGGACCTACGCTCAGTGGGAATGAAACGTAAGGTGTGAGGAATTCAGCGCTGATCATTAAAGTCTGGGGATGCACCACGCAATCCACCTACACTTAGGATCGCAGGGTACCTAGTTGTGTTTTGGCCCGATTACAGAGTGTCAGGCCAGCTAACTTATAGTCCGGCCATTGTCAAGACTTCTACTGTAACGAAAACACCAGCAGTCCTCCTTTTCAATAAAATACGCGTAGAAATAGTCTAATAGTAACCTAGTCGTTACAAAACCTACCTTTTCAGCATCGCTCTTCAAATCCTCAGCTTTCTCTGCAGCGGTCTTATAAGCGTTGTCAGCAGCCTTTACCACTGTCTCCTTTGCATCCTTGCCCGCCTACAACAGTAGCAGTCAAACCAAGAAGCTCCCATGAGCTCAAAACTTCTAGTGATAAGCAAGACAGAGTAACCAACCGATTCAACATCGTGGGCCAACTCCGAAGCTTTGTCCTTTGCCCCTTCGAAGGCATGCTTTGTCGAATCCGCTGCGTCAGCGGCTGCCTGTAAAACTATATTGTGCGGGTGTTGTCTCCGGGTGCTGTCCAGGAGATCCAGGTTGCGCAATGCAGGTGAAGTTTCGTTCGCGGCTTTCGAATATGGTAGCAATCGATTTGAACCGAAAGTGCTACAGCAAGCTAATCTGCGTATCGCAATCCGGATCTCCTGACCTGCCCCCACAACTCCGTGGCCTAGCGTAACGGCCTAGAGGAGGCACTGTATTGGGAAAAAGCACAAAAATGACCTCTTTAACGTTATCTTTAGCGTGTTCTACCTTGTCCTTGCCCTGGGCGAACGTGCCTTTCACGAAACCGAAAGCGCCAGAAGCTACCTGAAAGTCACTTGATCAAAGGTAGTGGCGCTATACGTCCTAGAGGGGGCCTTTTGCATTGCATCTACTTTTTTTGCTTGGTTAACACCTGTAAACTTTTGGAAAGCCGAGAAATGAAATAAGGGAGCCAATCTAATCACAGGAATTTACAGATCTCCACAAAGCGGCTTTACAAACCTCATGGAGTACTATTTGGTGCCCCCCTCTGAACCGAACTGCTCCCAGTGTAGATATTGATAACCCGAAAATGAGTGTCTCACGTGAAAAAAAATCGAAAAAGTGGGAACACGAGGATTACGAGGA